CTCATTTATGTCTTCACTTAACAAACATGAAGTCCAACATTGAACATGAAGACCAGTTCTTCTCTACATACCATCACAAGTGCTAGAAGTCAGCAATAAAGACACATAGTGACAAGAAAAAAAAATAAGGACCTATGAGTAAGAAGGAGGAGCAGAGCCAGTAATGGAAGGTCATGAGCACAGAGTTTGAGATCCAAAGATCTTAGTCAGATGGACTAAGAAGACAAAGAGAGGACAATGGGACCAAGTATGTCTCTGAGACAGTAGCAGAACCCACAGATGACACAACAAGCCAGGCTGTGAAGGAGAGCAGGGTGGCCATATGAAGACAGTCCAGAAAGACAATGGGCAAAGGGCAGGGTGGCACCCTGGAGTAGCTCTGGACACTCTCAAGAAGGAAAACAGAAACACACAGCATAATAGACAGGAAGCAGAAATCACATCTACTAGGGGACAAGCCCAGAGTGTGACTTGTGAGGGACACAGGGAATGAGTCGGGAGGGAGAATGACTAAGCCCAATGACAAGACAAAACAGTCAAGGGCTGGAGATGCTCGCTCATGGGGTAGAGAAAGAAATGATGATTTGCAGCCTGAAATAAGAAGTTGAATTAGTTACTCAAGGCCTAAATAACCAAAGAAAACACCCCCAGATTGCATCTTCCTCCTGAGCCCCTTTGGCCCTCTTCAAAGGGCTCCAGGAATGAGGAACTAACTCCATGCCTGGTGACCTAATGGTTAGAAGAACTGGCATTCTAAATCTTCTGGGTCAAACCTTAACTCTATATAGTTTATGTACTGATCTTGGTTCCATCCTTAGAATCACATGGTTGTGAAAGCACCTCCTTTCCTAATTAGGGAAGACTCCAGTTGCTTCTAATTCAGTTATGTCAGACTTCCAGTATAATGTTTGTATTATATCATATGTAGAATACTAGTATGCCAATCAGTGGGCTTCATTTTGTCAATTTTACTTCATGTTAAGAAAACTAAAGTTATGGGGGGAGGGGGAAAACCATGCTCCAAGAATCCAGCTATGCCTGGCTAAGTTGATTTCAGTCTGGGATGCTTGGCTCTGCTCAGTACTCTAGTCCCACTGTGACACTCCAGGTATTCAACTGACAAATCTGCAGCTCAGAGGAGAGTCTGGGCTCTGCTCTCAGGAAACCAATTGAAATTAACCAGAGTTGGAAAATAAGCCCACTGAAAACATGATTCATAATTCCACCAATTCGGCATCACCTATTACGAAGCAAAAGACTTAAGGGTGTCAGTCAGTGGGGCATAGGGAGCAAAACGTATATACAGCATGTCCTTAAAGGACACTGGTATCAGCAGCAACAGGAAGGGTACATCACATAAAGATGACTTTTGACTTTTGGTGGCCACTCAGCCTCCTCTGGAGTCTACAGATCTCATAGACAGGTCATGCAGGTCATCCTAGATGATTACCACTATCTCAGGACAATGAACTTCTGCTTCCACATCTCTCCTAGAGGCATTTCACACCCTTCCTGGACAGCTCATTGTAGCCAGGCACAGAGTAATCCTCAAATGTCCTCCATGTAGGAAACACTATCTGGAGAGAAGTAAATGCAGAGAAGTCAACCAGAAGAATAAAGAAAGATGTAGGAACACCAGCACCATCTAAGCAACCTGACCCAACCCTGTCTTCAGTCTAGGCTTTCTATAACTCTATTGTATTAACCACTTGTATTAGTTACTTTTCTTGTTGTTGTGGCCTAACACTTGACAAAAAGCACCCAAAGGAAGTAAAGGCTTAACTTGGATCAGTTTACTTAGACCTATTATAGCAGGAACAGCATGGTGGCAGGAGTTTGAGGCAGCTGGTCACACTGCAGAGCAGCAAGCAGGGAAAAATGAACACTCATGCTCAGCTTGTTTTCTCCTTTTTAATCATTCTAGGACCCCAGCTCTTGGAACGGTGCCACCCACATTAAGGGTAGCTCTTCCCACCTAAACTCCTGAACAGGTATGTCCAGTGGTCTGTCCTCTGGGTGATTCTTGATCTCATGATGTATGTAAGCACTGAACCATCTCATTAACAAAGAATTTCCCCCCAAATCAAAATTCTACATTACTGTTTTCCCCAGTGTTAGACTTTACATGCTACAGTTCCAACTTGATAAGAAAGGAATACAAGAACACAAATGAATGGCAGTTAAGGCCCAGACTCATGAGCTACAAAGGTACTAGAACAAGTGACTATTAAATAGGACACCCCTCCCCCACGGCTAAGGAATGTCACGGAAGAGGGGTTGGAAAGAACCTAACAGCTGAAGAATAAAGAGAAGGGCCATGAACAACAGTCTTATGGGCAAAACAAGGGCATGATACTCATGAGCTCAAAACAGCTACAATTGCCTACTGAGAGTCCACACAAGATGACTGAATCAATAAATTCATTCATACATGGGGGAGCGGCTCACGGGACCACCATAGCTAATGGCAGATGAAAGCTACCAGAGAAAACAATCACTATTGTCACTGATGCACTGATGCTCATGAAAACCTTCATTAAACTCAGTACATTATTAAGCAGAAACAAAGACAAATGACACAGAAGAGGGACAGAGACTTGGTAGGAGGAAATGGGGGTTGGTGAGTATGAGCAGATGATAAGGGAGGCTGGAGGGATGAGTGTGTCTACAATGAATTATACACATGTATAAAGCAATCAAAGAATAAATTAATGTTTTAGAATTGAAACAAAATTAATTCTACAACCTCAATGCATACGGGTCATGTGGCATCTAGTAAAAATCCTTGGCAAACTCCAATATAGACCCACAGCTCTCATAGCTCCAGTCTACAGTACGGTATCAGAATACAATCTTAAATGCTTGAGTCTAAGCTGGGCTCCATCCTGATCGGCTTGGAGACCTCAAGCAAGTCACCAAAGTTTTTACACTGCATGCCTCCCACCTTTACAACAGGGACATTCACTTCATTATGGATTAATCACTAAAAAAGAAAGATTCTGTGCAATGTCTGGCACACAGAAACGGTAACAATGCCAGTGTTTTATAACGTCAATATCGTCATTGCCTTCTTAACATTGTTACGCTAATTTTAAAGTACCTTTACCAATGCTTATGAAAATTTCATATACAGAAACAATGTATTTTGATCATATCCACCTCGACTCTCCCTTCCACCCTCCCTAGATTACTATGGCAATATTACTAGTTTTCCTAGATTGCTCAAAGCCTGTTTTCCTTTGTTTATTATTTTTCTTCCAATTGGTCTGCTCTGCTGTACTTTGCTATACTTTGAAGTGGTGTACTGTGGTGGGCTGTGCTCTGCTCTGCTGTGGATTGTGGTGCGGTTTGGTTTTGTAAAGCCATTTTTTAAACCATGCTAGGCTAAACTCAAAGCCCTTCTGTCTCAGGCTGTACTGGGGCTTTAGGCACAGTCACCATGCCCAGTTAACTGTTTTCCTGTCTAGAACTGAACTAGCCGTGGGGGCCTCTGCTACTTTGATAGGGCCCCTCTCACACAGAATTAGATGAGCAACTTTCCTTCTAGCTTTGGCAGGATCAGCATCGACTCACCAAGTTCCCTCTGACACCCCTGCAGAAAGGAGTCTCTCACTGCCAGAGCACGATTTAATCCATTAAGCTGTTTAGATGAAATGCCTGACCAGTCTAGGGATGTGGCTAGAAGGAAGAGAACAGTGACTGGGGTGTGACACTGGGCTCCTGTTTATTGGCTAGGGATCTAGAATCAACCCACTCTGGGGTTAAAACAGATGGCTCAGCTGTGAAAAGCACTTGATACTCTTCCAGAGGACCCAAGTTCAGTTCCCAGCACCCAAATCAGGCAGCTCGCAACTGTTTGTAACTCCAACTCCAGGGTATCTAGCATCTCTGGCCGACTTGGGCATTTGCATTCATGTGCATATACTCTAGTCCAAATATACACACTACACATAACTAAAAACAGTAAGTCTTTAAATTAAAAAAGAAAACCACCTCTATTCAGCAAGGGCATAGCTCTGTCATCTTCATATTCAGCCTTGCAAATGCAAGCTCCAAATGTGGAGCCAAGCACCTAATTAAAAGGTAGCCTTGAGCTGTCAATAAAATTATGCACTAAGGAAATGTTCAAACACATAGTAGTGACTTTGTTGAGACAGACTGTCATGTAAGATTTTTTTTTTTCTAATTCAAGTGTGGAGCAAATTAAAACAGGAAATCTCCACATCTACACAACCCTCCCTCCCAGAAGCAGTGACACAATCACCAAAAATCAAGATATTACACCACATTCAAAATAGCTGGCTGGGGAAAATGGTGAGGCTTGTCTTTCCTGTTCATTTCTGGAGAGCAGCAACAATGGTCATTCTGTTACTTGTTCAGGGAAGGCAATTCCTTTGCCTCATCCCCAAAGCTCTCTTCGCTGTGAAGAATTGTCTTTCATCCCCACCTCAGCCTGATGGCTCCTATAAGTTTCCCCCTAAGCACAATGCCTTCTCTATCACAGCATACACACCTGTCTGTCTCCCCCATGACACAGTGTATGTCTAAATCTGTTATCTTCCTGTTCTCAGCACTAGTTATACTGAGGCTGTCAACAAGCAAGAAAACACTGAATTGTAAACAAATGACTAGACAGATCAATGAATGGAGTACCTACCTGGTTTCAGGAAAGCCAAACCATTCCTCAGGGTTCAACTTTCTCCCCTGTGTTAGCATAGGGGCATGTGACCAAACAGGCTTTGGACATCGGTCTACCCACTCCCTGTCACTACAGAAACGTATACTTTAATTTAGTCTAGTTTTTTTTTCCTTTCACGCCTCACCATGCTGACTTCCTGCAACTACCTATGAAGATGCTAGATGTCAATTCTCATGACAGACAACATCAATCCAATATTTTACCCAATGAACAGTAGGGCTTCCAGACTCTTTCCAAGCCTCTGTGACAGCCTGTGTACTCCCTTGCCCTCACCTCCCTTTCACGTGGCTTTTGTTCTTACCTTCAAAGCTCCCAGCAAACAAGTAAATCCAGGTGATGGCTGGGATGCAGAGCAGAGTCAAAGAGGCAGCCAAGAATTTCCGTCTCCCTCTGCAGATTCCCAGCATCCTCTCAGAAGTGGCAATTTCTAATTCCAGTGGTGCTGTGTCTCTGTCCAAAGCATAAAGTCCTCAGCATCCCTCATAATACTTTCTGGAAGGAAAAGCAAAAGACAAGAGCTGAATCCCATAATGATGAGCAGATGGAGACAACTGAAAAAAAAATCCCATTGATTCTAAAAATAGACTCACTGGGCCATGGCTTCCTGGTAACCTTCTATTTCAGGAGATGACAGATGATTCTAGAATCTTGCCTGTCAAAACTGAGACATTTAAATAAATGATGAGGTCTACAAGGGATCTCTCTCTATTATTAAACTAGCATCTATTATAAACAAAATACTAAAAAGGTATGCTATAAAAACGAGGACATAGGCTGATATCAAAGAATACATTGTCATAAGTGACCAATTAAAGAACATGATCCCCATGAAAGGTAGAGGAAGCAAAATGAAGAACACACCTAAAGGAGAGAAGCTTGATGAGCTCACAACATAATCTGCTGAAACTGGAATATGGTCAGAGTTGAGGACCTAAAAATATCTCAACTGGGAATTGTCTGCATAGCCCCCCCTTCTCCCCCCCTGCACCCCACCCCCCACCAGTAGATCTAGAAAAAATAGAAAGTATGAGAATGGATAAGAGTTAACCAGTTTGGACCTGGATAAATGATCCTTACACAAGGACAAAATGGTAGTGATGGGTTAAAAGAAGAGAAAGATTGACAAGTATGGAGTAGAGAGCCCATATTTCACCTCAATATTTATACACACACACACACACACAGAGAGAGAGAGAGAGAGAGACAGACAGACAGACAGACAGACAGACAGAGAGACAGAGACAGAGACAAACTTTCTCTCTTCCTGCTAAATGCTGATCCAGATATAGAACTCTCAGCTACCTCTCCAGTTCCCTGTCTGCCTGTGTGCAGTCATGATTCTCAAAATGACAATATTGGACTAAACCTCGGAACTGTAAGCTAGCCCCAATCAAATGCTTTCCATTGCTGTGGTCATGGTGTCCCTTCACAGCAAAAGGACACTGACTAGGACAGAAGTTGGTACCAGAGATTGAAGTATTGCTGTGATAGGCCTGACCATTCTTCTCTTTGGAGACATGTGGATTTGGGGACTTTGGATTGGGAAAGCTTTAAGCTAGGCTTAATGGGCCATACTAATAGAAGCATGGAAGGCAGTGGTGACAAGTGGTGGCTCAACTCAAGAAGTTTCTGAGAAGAAGAATATTAGTATGTGGCCGAAAGACCATTCTTGTAACATTTTGCCAAAGAATGTGTCTGCTTTATGCTCTTGCTCAACAAAAATCTGCCTGGGACAAAATTGAAAAGCTCTGGATAATCAGGTCTGGCAGAAGAAATTTCAAAATAGCCTAGTATTGACTGTGTTTTGTGGTTATTAGCATAAGTGGACAGTCTTATGCTAATCTATAATGAATAAGCAAGCTGAACAAGGAAAAATACAAAATGTTCAATTTGAGGAGCAAAAGAACACAAGGAAAAAGTTTAAAGAAAACACAGAACCTAAATGGAATAAAGGGAGTGGTGACCTCAGAGTAAGACACCCAGCCAAACATCCAATCTGTGAAAAGGAATTAAAATTTAGGACTGGTGTGGTAGCGCATGCTTTTAATTCTAGAAGGCAGAGGCAAACAGATCTCTGATTTGGATGTCAGCCTTGTCTATAGAGAGTTCCAGAACAACTGAGCATAGACAGTGAAGGAAGCCATTAAAAACAGAAAGATGATAAAAATATATTTGAACAATGGGGCCATGTTTCAGCTCCAGCAAGCAGCAGAACTTGACAGCTTCAGTCACATGGTTATGAACTATGAATCAAGGATACAAGAAAGGGGTAATGAAATCTCCCTCTGCAACTGGAAAGAGACTGAGGTCAAGTATATATGTCAGGGGTGTCCTTCATGGAGGCCTACAGCAGGAAACTGTAAATGTGAGGGTTAGATTACCTTGGAGACCCCAAGATGTTGGAGATGCCAGAGTTGTGGGATACCTGCTAAGGAAAGCTTCCATGGGTGGAACCAGCCCATGAAAGAGAAGAGTGTTGAAGTTAACAGCACTGAAAGAAGTTGGAGACCAGAAGAGTCCTTTGAATTCACTCATGGAGACACAGTTTGGAGTTTGCCACCTGGTTTTCTGTCTTACTTTTGTTCAATATTTTCTCACTATGCTCCGTTTCCTCCTTATTGCCATCTTATGTTAGACGTATGTGATCTGCTTTTGCATTTTGATTTTGCAAGTTTTAAAGTTAAAAGAGTGCCATGAGTCTCAGGAGACTTTAAACTTTGGACTGTTAAACAGTGTTGAGACTGTGACAGAGCACGATAGAAGGGACATTTTGAAGTTGAACTGAATGGGTTTTTGCATTATGGTATGACTACAGGTGTATGAGGAAGAACAGGGCAGGAGTGGAATGCCTTCATAGGCTCATAGGAAGTGGCACTATTATGCAGTGTGACCTTGTTGGAGTGGGTGTGGCCTTGTTGAAGGAATGTGTCCCTGTGGGTGCACTTTGAGGTTTCAAATGATCAAGATAAGCCTATTGTCTCTCTCTTCCTGATGCTTGTGGATCCAGATATAGAAATCTTTAAGATACCTCCCCAGCACCATGTCTGCCTACATGCTTCCATGCAAAACCCCATGACAATAATGCACTAAACCAGTCCCAATTAAATATTTTCCTTTAAAAGACTTGCCGTGGTTAAGGTGACATTCACAGCAACAAAACCCTAAGACACATGCATAAGACATATGAATTTAAAAATCAGACCATGAGATCTCATCTGCAGCTCCTCAACATAGATGTCTGTAAATGGAGATAACTGGTCTAGACACTAATAATAGATAATAATATAGAGAAACACTGAGAGGTCAGAGAGAAGGAGCAAGCCACTTCCACACCTTACCTCCTCAGTGTCTCAGCAGATAAGAGAGTGAGCTTTTGCTTCTCCCTGCTTAAATCCTATTTTCACCCAGCTATCTCACTTCCTGTCTGTGTGTACAGACCTCCAGACCTCTATGGTTAGCTAGTGGCAAGCTCCATTCTCTGACCTTCAGACAGGCTTTATTTGTACACTGAAGGTATCACCACAGATGTCAGCTGGCAACAGATGGAAAAGAGAATCCAGGTAGAAGAACCACCCACACTAGTCAGCTGTAAAAGGCTTCATATTCTCAACAAACAGTTGTCATGAAATAGCCAGTCTAAGTATCTCCTGCTACATTCCCATGCAGCCATTATATTGTGATGGAGGTCTGGATGAACTGCCTACTTTCCCATCAGTTGTGGAGTCTCTATGATTCAAGCTCAGATTTGGCCATCCCATTATGTCCTCCTGGCATTCCCTTCTTAGAATTCTGTAGGATGCTTACAGATATGGGAAACTTTCTTTTAAATAAACACACCTACACAAGTCTAACCAAGACAACTGGTAAAGCTTCAGGCCAGTTTCCAGCAATAACCACCCAATAGAGCCAATAGGCTTATGTGTGTGACCATTCCAATAGGTTTTCTAAATTGACTATTTGGAAAAGATAAAAGACCACAGTGCTGGAGGGTTTTGTTAAGACAATACTGAAAACTACAATCCTTTTGAATAACGAATGTTGACTTGATAAAGGGCTCCCTTGAGGTTTATTCATACTGAATCCTGGGGTGAAATGTTGTACACAAACTCTACTCATCATGGGAATGAGAAGCAAGAATCCTCTAGAAGAGGAAAAGTTGTTGAAGAAGTTGTGTTATTAGGGAGATATGAGTTCAGATTCATATATTTCATTCAATATTATCCCTCTGTAAACTGATGTACTACAGTAGATTAATCTAGACATCAGTAGAAGTTAGAAAGATGGGACATGAACTCAGCTGATAATAACATTTAAAATAATATTTATTTTCCTGCTTCCTTTTCTCCATCTACAAAAGGCAATTTCATGCTTTGTACAAAGGCAGGCCTAATATAACACATGGAAAATCCCTGTATGATTTTGACTTTTAAATAATAGATTAATATACCAAAGAACAAATTTTAAGGTAAAAACCTCAATTTTTATTAGGAGATACTGTAGGAAGTCAACACAAGGAAAACAGAAGACATGGAAAATGGGCTGGAAAATTACTTCAAACATGTCAGTGTATACATTAGCTAGAAAAACCACCCCCAAATCAATTCTCCTCCACTGCTGGTTGATATAGGAAAATTTTCCTGTCAACCAAGGTGTCCAAGTCTTCACTAAGGGCTTCAACCTCAAGCCCAACATCCATTTTTTTGAACAAGATGATCAATTCCTTCTCTATACATCTATTGCATGGGACTTTTGTCATGGGTCTTCCTCAATAAGAATTATATTTACATGAATATGGAGAAGAAAATAATTATCACCATTCATTACATCACAAAACATAATTCAATTTTCAATGGATAACACAATCATGAGTATCTTTCAGGCCAAAGGAATAAACTTGATATAGTCAGGCAAATATCTATCTAACCAAGCAGTCACATGAAGCATAAGAATATATTATGTGAGGATAATAAAATATATGATAAAATACCTACAATAAATATGATTAAATATGTATGTTTCATACACATGAAAAATTGTTTCCATAGTGAAAGTAATTGTTGGGCACAATAGATGGTAATTTTACTATGTATTTTCCACATGTTATACAAGTAGCACTAGTTCCTTTTATAATTTAAAAATATTTAAAAGTTTATAATGTTATATTATATTGTTTGCTGTTCAAAATGCCTCAGCATGTAGTATATAATTTACATGCTAGATAAAGGAAGATAAATTTTGGGGTACCCTAATTGAAAATTATCCTCCAAGGGGTGTTCCATGATCATCACAGGGACTCTAGTCAGAAGCCCACATTCCCTACTACAGGGAGTTCTCATCCAGTACCGGAAAGCTGGGTTGTAATTAGCAGCATGGATGAAATGATTTATCATGCATTCAAGATATGTAGATTGTATACAACCATTTAACAAGAAGACATGGTAAACATCTAGGAGATTTAATTTAAAAAAAATCTAAGTAGAAAATCTGGCCCC